ACGTATTATACACAAGGATCACGAATCGATTCTCACATTCTGCTTGAAGAACAACAGCTCCTCGATGATTGCATTTGCCAATCCGCGCGAAATACAGGAGTTCGATATATCCCTGCTGCTCGAATCGCCCAATTGGTATGAGGACGAGTGCGAATACGATATGATGAATTTGTCCAAAGATGCGGACACAAATAGCTCCGCTTTTCTCATCATCCAGTCGCAGGATCAGTGAGTAGCCAAAACAAACTTCAATTCCCAATTCTGATTGCTTCCCTCTACCGATCCCAAACAGGGCTCAATTTGGAGCTGGCAGCGCGTTCAGCGAGGCGAGCGTCAGCACGCAGAGCGCCTCACAGTCGGGCCGCGGCACATCCATGGTGAGGGAACTACTTGGGCTACTTTCCCCAGACATTAACCACATACTAATCCTTACTCCATCGCAGGTGCTGCGCCACAAGGTGGACAATGTGAAGCGCATGAGCGCGCATCCGCTGATGCCGCTCTATTTGACTGGCGGCCAGGATGGCTCTGTTCAGATCTGGGAATGGGGTCACCAGCAGCCCGTCTGCTGTCCGCGCACCTCCGGCACCTTTGCCAAGGTCACGCGCTGTCGCTTCTCCGAGCAGGGCAACAAGTTCGGCATCGGCGATGGCGACGGCAATCTGAGCCTGTGGCAGGCGGGCATCGCCTCCCAGAACAATCGCTCCTTCATAGTGAGTGCAGTTTCATAGCGAACACGCGCATTTAACTATAACTATTGTATTATAATTATTATCCTTGTTCTGATCCTTAGACCTACCAGTGCCACAATAAGGCGCTCTCCGATTTCGTATTCCTCGGCTCATGCAGCTTGCTGGCCAGCGGTATGTCTTTGCCCCTCCCCCCTCAATCAATTGCACACATTACTAATCCCAATTTGGTTTTCTATTCTTTCGCAGCTGGCCAAAGTTCCGAGAACAAGAACATTAACATTTGGGACACACTGTTGCCGCACAAGAAGTCCTGTGTCTCGGGTGAGTTCGATCTGCTCCAAAAGCTGTCTCTCTTTATGCCCTTAACCCAATTGACAATGGGCAAAATGTATCCAAGAGGCAGCACGAAGCATCTCCGAATGTGAATTTATTTTGGATTAGGACGACGAGCTGAGTCGACCCAGTCTGTCCGTCTGTATTAAAGGGGGAACTACGAAAGCTTTAGGTTTGAAATTATATTGATAATGTCTTTTCGTGTGTCTTCTCGACTTCTCGATATCTCGATAGTTATCGATTTAGCTCGAAAACTGTCTAGCATAGGCAGATCGAGATTTTTTCACATTTCGGATGCCTCCTTCAAAATGTGTAACGCATAGTAAAAGTCACCCATAAAGTATATATATATTCTTGAGCATTATCAACAGACAAGTTCGTCCGTCAGTTTATCCGTCCGTCCGTCTGTCTGTTTCGAACTTGCGAACTAGTCTCTTTGTTTTGAAAGCTATCGTCCTGAGACTTTGCATAGGTCCCTCTTATATCATATTCCTCACTACATCATATAGCTGGCATAGGAACGATCGGTCGAAAATGAGGTTCTTGTTAAAAAACATTTTGTTTTTCAACATATCTTAACCATGAAGCACTGTGATACGATTCGGTCTGCAAGGGTATTGAATCTTCTTTCCCTTCTCTCTCGTTAAACGTAGAGCTTTGGTATGTCCATAGATAGATAGATAGATATGCATACTTTTTTATGGCTTTGAGGAAAGCATTTCCCGAATATAGTGTGGAGGCAAAGGGAAGTAGAAAAAATAAGCTGGAATTTTGGCAAACTGGGTTCAGGGTATCTTCCAGTCGGGCACTCCCGACGGGATTACTCTTCTTTATTTGCTTATTCTCTGATTAATTTATTGTTCTCTTTTTTGGCAGCCTTCACCTGTCACGACCAGGGCTCATCCTGTTTGGTGTTCGCGCCCCAGCACCAGGTGCTCATCTCCTGCGGCAAGCGCGGCGACGTTTGCGTCTTTGATGTGCGCCAACGCACACTGCGGCATCGCTATCAGGTGAGTCTTGATTGACCACACAGCTTCTATCTAATCAATCAATCAATCGATCAATCAATCAATCTGTCGGCAGGCACACGACAGCACCATCAAGTGCATTGCACTCGATCCGCACGAGGAGTTCTTTGTCACGGGCTCCATTGAGGGCGACATTAAGGTGCGTTAAGGCATATTAAATATATTCACATTATATCTACTATATATATATATATATATATGTGATTCGCTTGCAGATATGGGACATGAACCAGTTCATGCTGATCAACACGTTCCCCCATGAGCATGCCAAGAACGGATTCTTCAAGCACACCGGCCAGGGCGTTAGCCAGGTCTACGTGGATCCATTTGGACGTCTCTTCTCCTGCGGCTCCGATGGCTGCATGAAGGTCCGCCTGCTCGTCGAGAAGGACAACATTGTGCACTCCGTGTATTAAACTAAATGAAACTAGAAACTAGAAACTAGAAACTAGAAACTACAACAACAGCAGCAACAAAAACATATTTTGTAAACTAATTACGTGTCCGTCGCGTCCTTTTTGTCTGTCTCGCTTGATTTTCGCTTTAAACTTTCTAAATGTACATTTTACTGTGTGTGCGAATGTGTGTGTGTGTGTGTGCGTGTGTGCGTGCGTGCGAATGTGTGTGTGCGTATTTTATTGCTAGTTTTTTTTTGTTTGTTAAACGTTGATTATTATATTTCTTTATTACATATATACATATATACGATGATGATGATAATGATAATGATAATGATGATGGGCAGTGTTGCCAATCCAGCTATTTTCTAGCTTTATTTGGCTCTTTTTTCAAAAGACTTCAGCCGCAAACAGCTGAGCATGTAAACTAATTTGGCTGTTCAATTTGTCCTTTAAAAGCTAAACAGCTATTTTTAGCTTCCATTTATTCCGATCTGTGAATTCAGCTACTTTCAGCAGTTGGCAACACTGAGAAGTTTTTTTTTTTTGCTTTTCCAACACAAACACAAGAAGAAGAAGATAAAAGTAACTATTTAACGAGTTTATATGTTTGATTCGTTTATATTCGATGAGTATTTCCTAAACAGACTATATGCTACCTATATGATATATATATATATATTTACATACTATACCTATACATATATACATATATGCACCTGGATACCATATATGTGTATATCAAATATACTACTTATATGCTTTAAATCAATTATTAATTATTATATATATATTTATATATACAAGACATTCTGCAGTATGATAAATTATATGCTAACGAGAATATATTTATACCTATAAATATATACATATATGTATATATACATATATGCATATACATGTATATATATATATATATATGTGTGTGTGTGTATTCTATATGCATGCCACGCACACATCGATACACGTGTGTGTGTGTGTGTGTTTTTACTTATGTCTTTGTGTTAAACTTTGTGCAACAATTTTGTCTGTTAAATCAATCAAGATCTATATGTATGTATATATATTCTATATATATATATATGCATGTATATTATGTATACCTAAATCAATTACCTAAATAAAGTGCAAAAATAAACAACAAGCGAAAAGTATTAAACGAACCCACTAAATTGCGTGTTCTTAAAATCAAACAGATTATCACACACACACACACACACACACACATACACATACATGCATAGACACTCACATACTCGCATTATGACCATGGAGGGAGGAGGAGTATTCACTGAATATTGGAGCTAGCTAGTCCCACATTGACTGGAAAATATATCCAGAACAAAATCTGTAAGAGGCAAAACGAAGGAGATCTTCCAAAGACCGAGGGAAATACTAATAATCTGAACATGGAGGTAAGATATTCACTTAAAAATCAACAAAAATGGTTGAATTTTCAATCAACAACTTTTTGTAACCCATCGATTCTTGATTTGTTTGACTGCCAATTGATTGTAGGGATCCGTACGAATTCAAAAAGGTATAACATATGAAAATCAGTCAATAATTACCCGAGATATTAAAAAAATATCATCAAAAAGTTTTGATTTTCAAACCGACCCTGATTTTGGTCGATTTGGGTCAAAATTTAGATTTGCATTCGATAGTATTGCTCCTTGCAGCTCCAAAATGGTATAAAATTCCAAAAAATCATCAAAAATCGTTGAATAGGTCAAAAAAAAAACCAAGGAAAGTTTGAAGGACAGAAACATATGCCAATTATCTGAACATGGAGGTGGGATATTCACTTCAGTTTGCAGCTAGTTAGTCCCACATATTATGTTAATCGCAAAATATAACCTAGAACGATTTCAACGAGAGTTAAAACTTGAAAGACAGAGACAAATGCTGACAATCTGAACATGGAGGTGGAGGGGTGACTACATTCACATACACATACAACACACACACACACACTCACATGTTAACCAATATCAGACTTTGTAGTGGCTGTTTTAACGGGCGAGTTTGAACCAACAGGTACGCAATCGCAGTTCTAACCCCAAAAAGTGAAATGTTCTAGATCTGCGTTGACTATACGATAAGCTAAATACCATGTTAAGTGTAGCTTAATCCAAATCGATCTTTATCGATCAAAATAAACGATAAAAAATCGAACTGCAGTCGGACTTTTCCATCCGCTGAGCTCAACTTCTTCGCAGTCAGAGATAAAAGGCAACTCTTCAGATACTTTGATGCAGACGTCTCTGGGGTTATATATGCTTGTCTAGATAAATATATATAGATGTACACACATATATATTTCATTAGTTAAGATCGTGTGTCTGCCTTAAAAGGCGATTCAATTGAATTTGTTGATTTCCGTTTGGCATTGAAAATTGTTTTTCATGATTTTTATTTTATATTATTTTTTTTTTTACTGTTAGACAATCGAAACAAATTAAACGCCTTTTATGGGCCTTTAATAATAAAACTAGGCAAAAAAAAAAAAATTGACAAAAAAAAATAGAGTTCACAAGATGAAAAAAATGTTTGTTTAGGTGGTTTTTTTTTTTTTTTTTTTTTGATTTTAGCCAAAATAGGAATTATTATAGTTGTTGTTGGCAGCGGAAACGTTCGAAGCATCCGTTCAAAAATCGAATAGAGAATTGTCGTCAATGGGTTTTGGGGTCGGGACTGGCTGCTTATCTAGCCGGAACATGTGGGGTCGTCTTCGTCTCTGTCGTCTCTGTCGTCGCTTATGACCTCGGCGGCTTAATTAGCTTGCTCGTGGGCGCCGGCAGCTTGCAGAAGCCAGCTGCGTCGAATACGGGCAGCAGCTCGCGCACACGCCCCGGTATTGAGCCATCCAGCATGCTGTCGGAGAGAAAGAGAGAGGAGAGCGTGAGAGGGAGAGAGAGAGGGAGGGGGGAGGGGGGAGAGGAGAGGGTGAGAGAGAGAGAGATACACTAAGCGAACATTTCAAGCATCAACATCTTTTACTTCGTCTTAGTCCAAGATTTGTTGTACTTGATTTAAGAAAGTCGTAAGTCAAAGTGTTCTCCACGCGAGAGTGATCGACTAGGAGATACCCTCAATCCAGTGTCTACCCTGAATATACTTAATCCCTTGCTTTCTACATGTACACACACACACATAGACGACTTTATGGAGTAGCTGAGCTTCTTCTTTTCCTTGGCCCACTCTATGAGAACTACATTCCCGATAAACTCAAGTGTTTACAGACCGATTCATATGCAATTTTCAGGTCTTAAATAAGTCATCCAAAAGTGTACACATACCAAATTGCAAGGCTGTAGCTTTTTAATGTCTCAAAATCGATATTTATCGATATGTCAAAAACGATAAAAGATATCGAAAAAAGGAACATAAACTATCAAATATAAAGAAAGTCTGCTCCTGATACTTGAAATAATATGGAAGTAGAAGCTAGATAGAGCGAGAGGGGGAGAGAGAGAGGGAGAGAGAGAGGGGGGGGGGGAGGGCTGTACTTACCGACGCTTGTAGTCAATTTTGGCGCCTTTCAGGGAGATGTTCGCCTCGGTGGGAAAGAACGTGGCATCGTAGAAGTTGAGGCCGTTCTGCAGCAAAATGTTGTACTCATCCATGGAGGCCAGCGTGATCCGTATAACGGCTGGCGGCAGCTCGCGCCGCTCCGGACGCTCCGCCTTCTCGATGGCATCGCCCACAATGCCGCCGCCGCCGCCTCCGGCTCCGCTGCCGATGAGGCTTTTGGCGCTGCTGCTGCTGCTGCCTGAAAGATTTGTAGCTGGGCATGAGTTTCTGGCCAAGCTGTGGGCGTGGGGTTGGGCGTGTGTGGGCGTGTGCTTTGGGTCGATTGGTTTCTGTACATTACTTCGCATGGCCGCACGGCGCAGCGTCTGGCCCGGGATCGGGATCGGGTGCGGAAGCGAAGATGCTGCTTTCTGGATCAGCTGCTCACCTTCAACCTTGTCCGCGCCGCCGCCCGCCTGGCTGGGGCTGGAATAGATGTGAAGGCGGACGACCTCAACCACCGAGTCGAACTTGTACATGGCATGCCGTATATCCTCCACGGGCAAATCCTCCGGCACATCCAGCACGTACAGCGTAAAGGTCTTCCGCGGCCGACACGGTATGGCAATCTGAAAGGAATCCACAAGCAAAGATCGCACAGATAGACAAGATTTATAGCGGGCTTTATATGATATGATATGATGATGGGTTATTTGGGGAGGAGACAAGTTGGATGAGGAGGAGCTGTTGCCAAGGTATCGCCAATGTACTCACGCTTCGCGAGAATGTTTGCTGCAAAAATGTTAAAAAGGTTTTGAAAGATTTCAGAATTCAGTCCTCAATGGGAGAGCGGGTGGGAAAGAGAGAGAGAGAGAGAGAGAGAGAGGGAGAGAGAGGGAGAGGGAGTGGGAGGGGGAGAGAGCTCTACATTTGGTTATAATCGGAGTGTTGCCAGCTCAGCTGCTTTCTAGCTAAATCTGGCCATTTTCAGCATGTAACTAATCTAGCTACTTTTTGGCTAGTTTCAGCTATTTTTGGCAGAAGTTGGCAACACTGTTGGGAATGCCTTAGAGTTGTCCACTTACTTTGCGATAGAATCGGGCTCCGGTCACCTTGTGGAATCCCTTCTTGAACACCGCCTGATAATCATCCGGATGTGAGAACTTGAACAGAATTCCTGTCGCCGTCTTCGTCAAGCTGAAGCAGCCCTTGAAGCTCATCTTCTCGCATATCAATGCGGCGCGTTCCATGGACAGTTCATAGGACGGGGTCAGCAGAAAGGCGCCTGCAAGTTCCGAACAAGCTCAAGTTAGTATCTCATTGAAACTACATAAAACTCGGGCTAAATTAAGGCGAGATTAAGAATAATCTCTCAGATTTGCCAATATATAAATATTTCGTGCGGGCTCCTGAAGTGCATCTCATCAATTCCAGCTAAAAGTTTGAGGTTAGGTTTTATTCCGGCCAAATTAAATGGAGTTTAAGGCGAATCTTCTTTCAATTTGCCATACGTAAATGAAATACAATTCATATGTATGCATATTTTCAGGCAGTTCCATTTCCTCTTCAAATTTTTAGGTTAGGTTTATATTCACTTTACAAGGACATAAACTCCTAAAGCATGCAGGTAGAAAAAATATGTTTATTTTTGAAAAGAAATGGATTTAATACTATTTTTTGATTTGCCAAACGAAATACATAAATATTTCAGGAGGTTCCATTTAGCAATTTTGATTCCTCTTCAATTTTTTAGGTTAGGTTTCACTTTATAAGGACATGAACTCTTAAAGCATGCAGAAAATTTATTATTATTAACTTTAAAAAGAAAAGTATTTAATGCTTTGTTTTTTGACTTGCCAAACGAAATAAGTCTATATTTCGGACAATTCCGTTAAACAGCTCTCATTAAACCTTGACTCCATTTAAAAGTTTTAGGTTAGGTTACACTTTATAAGGACACGCACTCTCAAAGCATGTCGGAGCAGTTAGAAAAAATACTGTTAACTGCGAAATGAAGAGGTTTTAATGCTTTTTTTAATTTGAATTCCAGTTGAAAGTTTTAGGTTAGGTTAAACTTTTTTCTCCTTATGGTCCTTTTGACTCCTAAAGTATGCTATTAAAAAAGAAATTGTTAACTTCTGAAAGCCGAAGACCTAATATTCTTCTAGTTTTCCAAACAACAAACATGATTTTTTCGAGCTATTCCATTGAGTAGCTCTCATTCATTTTTGATTCCTCTTTAAATTTTAAGGTTAGGTTTCACTTTATTCTCCTTCGAAAAAGAAAAGATTTCATAATCTTCCAAAAAAATAGATATAATTTCGTGCAGTTCCATAAAGTAGAGCTCATTAAATTTTGATTCCTCTTTAAATTTTAAGGTTATGTTTCACTTTTCAAGGACATGCACTGCAAAAATTAAAAAAATACATATAAACTTCGGAATACCGAAGAGTTAATACGCATAAAGACGCATCTTTCCCAGGTGTGCTATATATATCTACACTTTCATAGGAGAATTATATATAGAGTCGATATTGAAGGGTTTCTACCCAAAAGGGCAATGTTTATCTTGAGAAACAAAATAGTTTTTCATATGAAAACTTAATTTTCGACTGAAAAGCAATTACATATAGATGATATGGGGATCTGATCCGTCGAAGTACGACACATGGAAATATGGAATCAGACAGAAGGACTCGTCTGTTGATGCTGTTCGCAAATATATGAATATATTTCATAGATTCGGAGATGTCTGTCATATTAATCCCTTGCAAATACACTTCAAGACTGTTTTTCTTAATTTCCGAAAACTTTCTTGTTTAAAAAAACATGCTATTTAGAAAAAAAGTTGCCTCGAAAATATTTTCTAAAAAGCAGAAAAATTTGCAATTTTTTGTCAGTTTTCTAAACAAATTTTAAACAATTTTTTTGAGTGTAATTTCCAAAAAGATTGGAAGATTGGAATTGAAAATATTTTCTAAAAAGCAGAAAAAATGTGCAATTTTTAGTCCGTTTTCTAAAAAGTAGTTGGAAGTAGTTTGAAGATCAGGGTGTTATAGATTATATTTATTTTTGGGGATCGAGCGGCGACCTTTGGTTAGAAAATTGTCGGGCGAGGAAACTTCGGAGTCGGAATCATCCTCCCGCTTGTCGGCCCACTTCGGCTCCGACGACAACTTGTGGGCGGCCATTTTGGTGACAATGCCCGCAGGACGCGGCCTGGGGAACTCGTTCTTTTCACATTCCAGATCCGAGACGTTGCCAATATAAGACATAATTCCGTGTTTATCGAACTCGAGCTTGAAGAGTGCACGATTTTTTGAAAGCAACTGAAACGTTGAAGCCTCTTCGCAGCGCTTTTATACGCTCCGACGAGTCGCATCTCTGCTCGGTCGCATCGACCCAAGACCCAAATGAAAGTCGAGCACACACTCGCACACACTCACACACACTCGCATACACACTCGCACACACTCGTACAGCCCGATCTTGGTGTGGCAAAATGTCGGTCTGTCGCTCAAATTGGAAGTTCTTACAATTGGAATTAAAACGTGAAACGCACTTAAGAATAAACCAAAAGCTTGCAAGCACTCGACTAGCAGATACCCTCTACCCAGCAGATACCCTCTACCCAGCACCCGACTGGCAGATACCCTCTACTCAGCACTCGACTAGCAGATACCCTCTACCCAGCAGATACCCTCTACCCAGCACCCGACTGGCAGATACCCTCTACTCTCTACCCAGCACCCGACTGACAGATACCCTCTACTCAGCACTCGACTAGCAGATACCCTCTACCCAGCAGATACCCTCTACCCAGCAGATACCCTCTACTCTCTACCCAGCACCCGACTGGCAGATACCCTCTACCCAGCACTTCCACACACACATGACGCATGCGCAGCGTCTTCTTCTTACTTTGCCCCTACCATATGAGAAACGCACTCTCATTTAACTTGGGTATTCGTAGACCAATCTTTACGACATTTTCAGGGCTTCGGAAGTAGGATGAGATATCGAACAAAATAAGTCCAATGGAAAAGTTACCCAAAAAGGGACATCTTCTGCATTTGTATAAACTATGCCAGACCCAAGATACTAAGTTGAGTGTATCTAGCTCTTAAATTCTTTGAGCTGTGCTTAGGAAACTGCGCTATTTATCGATATTTCGGAGGTAGGGTGCGTTATCGACCACAATTGCTAGCCCGTTCACATCTGAAGTTTCTAGCATTTTTATTGTCCGAGATCGACGCATTTACACAGAAGGACAGACGGACTTGGCTAGATCGAATCGTCTATTGATCCCGACCCAGAATATTTATACTTTAAAGAGTCGGCTGCGCCTTATTCTGCCTGTTACATAGCTTTGCACAAAAACAATATACCCTATTTAACCATTTCCAATGGGTTCAGGGTATTACAAAATGAAAACTGAAACGTTCCACATGGATCCTCGCCTCGAGTGGGCGTAACAAAACTGGGTGGGTAAGTGGGAGGCGTGGCCGATATACATATATATATATATATATATAATGGGGCAGGTTGACGCCATCGACAAACGTCAAGAGCCCGCGTCAAAAGAAGCGCCAAATGTTGCGTAAATTTCAAGAACACGACTTTATAAGGGCAATTGGCAAACATTTAGTTGGAACACATCGCATTTGGAGCGCACAAATGTTCCAGCGCAAAATGCCATCAAATCAGGTAAATTAAAACAAATATATATATATATATATAACAATATGGAACATTTACGAGCTGTTATCACATAAATTTGTTGGACTCTTGGAAAGAAAACCCTTTAGCTAAGCAGAAAGAAAAGCAACAGAAAATGTTAATTTTGAAAGTTAGATTAAAATATAGAGCAGAAAATATATATAACTTTTTCTATTAAATTGATTTTAAAAAATAGATCTATACAAAATATAAACATTTTTGATATTTAGCGTCTGTTACCCGGCCAAAAATTATAAAAAAGTTTCATTTTCGAACTGACCTCGATTTTGAGAAAAAAACGTGATGTAACCCCTTGCCATTTTGTTGATTTTGGACAAAATTTAGATTTTTATTTTTTTGATGCCAATCGATAATACTGATCCTTACGAGTCCAAAATGGTATAAAATTCCCAAATCGGACATTATTTGGCCAAATATTCCAAAAAATCATCAAAGAAGGTTGACTTTACAAACGAATCGGTTTTGGGTCAACCACTTTTTGTAACCCACCGATTTTGAAAATGTTTGAATGCAGATTGATAGTAGGGATCCCTACGAATTCAAAAAGGTATAACATTTCAAAATGGGACAGTATTTACCCGAGATATTCAATAAAAATCATCAATTTAACACATCGATTTTGAAAATGTTTGAATGCAGATTGATAGTAGGGATCCCTACTAATTCAAAAAGGTATAACATTTCAAAATCGGACAGTATTTACCCGAGATATTCAATAAAAATCATCAATTTAACACATCGATTTTGAAAATGTTTGAATGCAGATTGATAGTAGGGATCCCTACTAATTCAAAAAGGTATAACATTTCAAAATCGGACAGTATTTACCCGAGATATTCAATAAAAATCATCAAAAAAGTTTTGATTTTGGAACCTACCCCGAATTTGAGAAAAAACGTGATGTAACCCCTTGCCATTTTGTTGATTTTGGACAAAATTTAGATTTTTATTTTTTTGATGCCAATCGATAATACTGATCCTTACGAGTCCAAAATGGTATAAAATTCCCAAATCGGACATTATTTGGCCGAGATATTCCAAAAAATCATCAAAAAAGGTTGACTTTACAAACGAATCGGTTTTGGGTCAACCACTTTTTGTAACCCACCGATTTTGAAAATGTTTGAATGCAGATTGATAGTAGGGATCCCTACGAATTCAAAAAGGTATAACATTTCAAAATCGGACAGTATTTACCCGAGATATTCAATAAAAATCATCAAAAAAGTTTTGATTTTGGAACCTACCCCGAATTTGAGAAAAAACGTGATGTAACCCCTTGCCATTTTGTTGATTTTGGACAAAATTTAGATTTTTATTTTTTTGATGCCAATCGATAATACTGATCCTTACGAGTCCAAAATGGTATAAAATTCCCAAATCAGACATTATTTCGCCGAGATATTCCAAAAAATCATCAAAAAAGGTTGACTTTACAAACGAATCGGTTTTGGGTCAACCACTTTTTGTAACCCATCGATTTTGAAAATGTTTGAATGCAGATTGATAGTAGGGATCCCTACGAATTCAAAAAGGTATAACATTTCAAAATCGGACAGTATTTACCCGAGATATTCAATAAAAATCATCAAAAAAGTTTTGATTTTGGAACCTACCCCGAATTTGAGAAAAAACGTGATGTAACCCCTTGCCATTTTGTTGATTTTGGACAAAATTTAGATTTTTATTTTTTTGATGCCAATCGATAATACTGATCCTTACGAGTCCAAAATGGTATAAAATTCCCAAATCGGACATTATTTGGCCGAGATATTCCAAAAAATCATCAAAAAAGGTTGACTTTACAAACGAATCGGTTTTGGGTCAACCACTTTTTGTAACCCACCGATTTTGAAAATGTTTGAATGCAGATTGATAGTAGGGATCCCTACGAATTCAAAAAGGTATAACATTTCAAAATCGGACAGTATTTACCCGAGATATTCAATAAAAATCATCAAAAAAGTTTTGATTTTGGAACCTACCCCGAATTTGAGAAAAAACGTGATGTAACCCCTTGCCATTTTGTTGATTTTGGACAAAATTTAGATTTTTATTTTTTTGATGCCAATCGATAATACTGATCCTTACGAGTCCAAAATGGTATAAAATTCCCAAATCAGACATTATTTCGCCGAGATATTCCAAAAAATCATCAAAAAAGGTTGACTTTACAAACGAATCGGTTTTGGGTCAACCACTTTTTGTAACCCATCGATTTTGAAAATGTTTGAATGCAGATTGATAGTAGGGATCCCTACGAATTCAAAAAGGTATAACATTTCAAAATCGGACAGTATTTACCCGAGATATTCAATAAAAATCATCAAAAAAGTTTTGATTTTGGAACCTACCCCGAATTTGAGAAAAAACGTGATGTAACCCCTTGCCATTTTGTTGATTTTGGACAAAATTTAGATTTTTATTTTTTTGATGCCAATCGATAATACTGATCCTTACGAGTCCAAAATGGTATAAAATTCCCAAATCGGACATTATTTGGCCGAGATATTCCAAAAAATCATCAAAAAAGGTTGACTTTACAAACGAATCGGTTTTGGGTCAACCACTTTTTGTAACCCATCGATTTTGAAAATGTTTGAATGCAGATTGATAGTAGGGATCCCTACGGATTCAAAAAGGTATAACATTTCAAAATCGGACAGTATTTACCCGAGATATTCAATAAAAATCATCAAAAAAGTTTTGATTTTGGAACCTACCCCGAATTTGAGAAAAAACGTGATGTAACCCCTTGCCATTTTGTTGATTTTGGACAAAATTTAGATTTTTATTTTTTTGATGCCAATCGATAATACTGATCCTTACGAGTCCAAAATGGTATAAAATTCCCAAATCGGACATTATTTGGCCGAGATATTCCAAAAAATCATCAAAAAAGGTTGACTTTACAAACGAATCGGTTTTGGGTCAACCACTTTTTTTAACCCATCGATTTTGAAAATGTTTGAATGCAGATTGATAGTAGGGATCCCTACGAATTCAAAAAGGTATAACATTTCAAAATCGGACAGTATTTACCCGAGATATTCAATAAAAATCATCAAAAAAGTTTTGATTTTGGAACCTACCCCGAATTTGAGAAAAAACGTGATGTAACCCCTTGCCATTTTGTTGATTTTGGACAAAATTTAGATTTTTATTTTTTTGATGCCAATCGATAATACTGATCCTTACGAGTCCAAAATGGTATAAAATTCCCAAATCGGACATTATTTGGCCGAGATATTCCAAAAAATCATCAAAAAAGGTTGACTTTACAAACGAATCGGTTTTGGGTCAACCACTTTTTGTAACCCACCGATTTTGAAAATGTTTGAATGCAGATTGATAGTAGGGATCCCTACAAATTCAAAAAGGTATAACATTTCAAAATCGGACAGTATTTACCCGAGATATTCAATAAAAATCATCAAAAAAGTTTTGATTTTCGAACCGACCCCGAATTTGAGAAAAAACGTGATGTAACCCCTTGCCATTTTGTTGATTTTGGACAAAATTTAGATTTTTATTTTTTTGATGCCAATCGATAATACTGATCCTTACGAGTCCAAAATGGTATAAAATTCCCAAATCGGACATTATTTGG